TCAGATAGGCCGGACTATCGGAAGGGGGGGTTATGAGGGGTCTAGGGTGGGGTGGAGGGATGCCACCCCAGACCCTTCATAGCCCCCCCTTCCAATAGTCCGGCATATCTGATAATCCGTCACCCTCTGAGTCCTAAAGGTGCTGGATTATCAGAAGTTTACTGTATTAGGAAAATTTTTCTAACTATATGGGTACTCAAGTTCTGCAATTGAGTATTGAGGAAGATTGTGAAATCCTTATCACGGATGGTTTTCATGAAGAGGTTAGACAAACACCTGACAGTGATGCTCTAAATTCATTTGGTCCTGTCTTAGTATGAGGTGCTGGACTCAAGATTCTTGCTAGTCCTACATTTTTATGGGTCTGTAACAGGGATGTAATAGTGTAGTTGATTAACCTATAAGCTTTTGACTGATGCGTGCACACAGAGACAGGCTGGCCTGCAGCCCAGTTCAGCTCTGGCCCATGCCTGACTTACCCCCGCTGGGGCTCTGCATTTAAAGTATTAGGAGCTGGGTGGGCAGGTAGCCCAGCTCAGTTCTGATTCACGCTGGGTCTGGGAGCTCAGGACCCGCCCCCCAGACATGGGGTTGCTGCAACCCTGCACTGCTGTCTCTTTATCAGAGACAGCAGTACAGGGCAACAAGCAGCCTGTCTGTAAGAGGAGCTGTTTTTTTAAACTGGCTCCCCTTGCAGACTAGTTCTCCCCGGTACCCCACGCTGCTGCCAGCACCACCCCCTGGGGACTATAGAATAGTCGACTAACCAATAAGAATTCATGAGGTTACTCAATATTCAATTAACCAATATTTAACGTCCCTAGCCTTTAGCACTCATTTGGTATTTGGTAACACTGAGAGTCAACAGTTCAAGGTGAAGACTATATGATTAATCACAGTCAGCTGGTGGTATCCAGAAGGACAAGTTCTGGAAAGTTAGAATAGGAATTAACCAGGTATGATCTAATTGCAAAGTCAATTTAGATTTGAAATTACATATTTGAAGAGCAATGTATTATGATTCAGGCTGGATATAGAGGATCCATTTTTTTTTTTTTTTTTTAATCTGTTTTCTGGTGATGAATGTCTAAGCTATTGTTTCTGGGGGGAGAAGGATTTGCTATATAATATGTACACGCACACTTCAGGGGGCCAAGAAAAATAATTGTTGTATATTCTGCTCATATTCTTTCACCTTTTGGGAGCTATTGTTTCTTAAGATAAAGGTTTCTCAAATGAATCCAGCCAGAACCTCTTTTTCAAAATTCTTCCAAAACCTCACCTGTAATTTTCAGACCTTTCAAATGGGTTTCAGCTGCTATGCATGCATGCAACCAGTCTTGTCATAATCAAGATGGAGCCTAGACTGTTGTCACAGTCAGAGAAGAGAAGGGATCATGGTCCTTGAAATGTCAGGAAAAATATTAAGTGAGATCTATCCAGAAAATCCTGGCCAGTGACCCACACTGTAGAGAGAAAGGTGAAAAAAAAACCCAAGTCCACTGTCAATCTGACCTGGCAGGAAATCCTTTCCTGACCCCACATGTGGTGATCATTTAGACCCTGCACATGTGAGCAAGAACCATCCGGGGCGGGGTGGGAGAGAGAGAGAGAATGCTCTGTGCCACCTCATAGATTTGGCCCTTTCTGTCCAGTGTCTCATCTCCATCTGTAGTCATCTCTGATGCTTCAGAGGAAGCGTACCTGAGGATGTGGGAGAAGGAATTCCTTCTGGATCCTTCCAGGTAGCCAACTGAAATGCCAAAGCATGCACTTTTAGGAACATGAAACATAAGTTAGAAATAAGGCTCAAGTTAGCTGTGTTCAGCCTCTGACCATCCACAGCAAAGCTATCATACCATTGCACTCTTTCATTTGTCTAGCTCTCTTTCAAAATCAATTAGAAGTGTTGGGCACAAACAAGTTCCATTGGTCGTTAGAAGTGGTTTTGTACATATTTCCAATTTGTATTTGGGCACCAAAGTGCAACTTGATCATCCCAATGCAGAATCAGGTTCCATAAGTTATGTAATCACTTTGAAAAACTACATCCAGACTAAATAAATGTTCTGCAGCAGAGTTCTTCATCTCTTCTGGTGCCTACCCATGTATCTAAAGCGGCCAAATAGTCACTCCAAGAAGTGATTCTGCAGCCACTGTTCTAGAAATGCTCTGCTTCTAAGTTTCTGTGCTCTCCTATCATAACTCATTTATTTAATTCAGGGATGGGGAACCCTTTTTGGGTTGGGGGTCACTGACCCACAGAGGAATCAGTCCGGGGCTGCACACAAGTGAGAAGTTTAACTAACACACACACACACACCCAACTGACATGCCCCCTGACTGAGTAGGAGAAAAACACTCCCCACATTCCCCTCACACACTAGAGCCTCGGGGGACCCAGCCTTGTAGATTTTGTGTGCTCCAGCCGTGTGGCAAAGGGGGGGCAGCACAGGCTCCCCAATGCTGGGGGAGTCCTGAGCCTCAGGGGCTCGATCCAGGCAAGCAAGAGGCCACATCCAGCTCCCAGGCCTTTGGTTGCCCCTAATTTAATTTATGGTTCTCATGCAATAGTATGAAACCTTTCATTTCATTTGTTGGTTTTGGATGCTTTGAGGGGTTTCTTTTTTTAAAACACACCTGCCACTGTGATGTGAGTGCAGAACCTGTGTGCAAGGTGAAAGATGGAACTGTTCTGCTTACATATAGTTCATTAGACTTAATTAGTAGAGCCAGGTGTTCTTAGATCTTTGTTTACATTAACCTCTCCCTGGCTAATTGAATCTGTATTAAGTTAGGGGTGGTTGTATTGCTGTATATATGCTTGTGACTTTGTGTTGATCAGAAGGAAGGGGAAATTTTTCCTGGCTGTGATAGTGTCCTTGGCTATCTTTGCTTAAAGTTCCTAACACCAAACCAGTATCCTTTAGGGAGAATCACCAATGCTTTTAAAAGAGCATTACTGTTTGGCAGACTGAAGCAATTAGTAAAGAGTATGAGAGAGCATTTGATTATCATTTCACATGGAAAAATATTCTGTGGCTTATGCAAGTGTCTTATTTGGAAGCTAAATATTTTTTTTTTAAAGTAAGAACTATGCACACAGTCAGATCTGTTATGACCCTGATGCTGTCAGCTCCACAGCAGTCTGGAGCCAACTTAATACTTGTTATCTCTTTCTTTCTCTCACCCTAGAATAACCCGAGCAACAAACTGGTGAATACCAGCAGCACGGTCACAGCAGCACATATCAAGAAGTTCACTTTTGTCTGCATGGCTCTGTCGTTAACGGTAAGGAGTCATTCATCAGCTGTCTAAAGCAAAAAGTTACTACACGTGTGTGAAGCTGCAAATTCACATTACCAGAATGTCATCAGCATACTCGAAGCATTACTCTCTGTGCCTATGAAGCCATTACTCTCTGTGCCTATGAAGCCATTACTCTCTGTGCCTATGAAGGGTTCGCTAGGGAATTCCCTTCCCACCCACTTATCAATGTAGCACCAGGGTAATTGGGGCCGCGGGCAGCCAGATGTGCTGCGACTGGATCCAGGACAGTTGTGAGGCTGTCCCTACTGGGGGAACTCTCATCATAGACCTCGTTCTAACTCCAGCGGCTGCTACAAGGCCGGGCTGGCAGAGCTGCGTGGAGCGCAGCTACCCTGACTGGCGGAGACAAGTGCCGTGTAGACTGCACCTGCCCCTGCAAGCCCGTTTTCCTCCCCCCTGCTCAGTGAGAGCCTCCCCATGGCTTCTTGCTGCTCCCAGCCAATAGGTACACCCATTATTTTGCATTATTAAGTGCACAGAAAATATGAATGTGCAAAATGTGTCACTACTGTCAGACCTGTTAACTACTGCCTCTTTAATTCTGGTCCAAGTGAGGCAAAAGGTCTGGACTGGAAAATACTCTTTAACAAGTATTAGCAATTATTTATTTATTTTTTTTTAAATGTGTGTGTGCAGCAGTTTTTCAGATTCTTGTTAACCATCGTGTCTCCCCCTTCTTTGATTTGCCTGATAATGAATAGGCAATATGCAAATAAATTAATTACCATAACAAAGTCACGAATATTTCAGTGCTGGTCCACCAACAATTCTTGAATGAGTTTACCAGTCCACAGTATAAAAAAATGTTGGGAACCACTGTTTTATAGGCACCATTGTAGCACTTACAAATTTTATCTTTTAAAATAAGTCTGTAGAGATAAAGGGCAAGGAATTCTGGATTTCTTCCAGAGGTCAATGATTAGCTGCTCGTTCACCTAGGTTGAAGGGTGAAAAAACCAGTTGACGCTCTGCACTCATAGTTTAACTTAAATAAGACCAACATTCAAATTCTTGAGTCTCTCTAGTAGCTGTGTCTGCGATGTGAACTCACCATGGCAGAATAACTCATTTACCCTTATTAATATATTTAGCTACTCTATCTTTGATGTGCAATGAAAGATAAAAGAACGGCAAGTTCCCTTTGTTCATCATTTAGAACTCAAACCCTGCATATTGGAAAAGATGGTGCATGAAGGCTATTTTTCATTGTATCTCTTTTCCCTTATTAATCTGCATTTCCATTCAAGTTCTGCTTTAAGCTTTCTATTTCTTGGTTTCATTAACAGTGGGTACTTCTTAAACTATACAACTTTATTTTTTATAGTACCACAGGATTTTTTAAATCTGATTTTTAGATGCAAGTGATTTGTGCCCAAAATAATCAAGTTGTTTCGTTGTCAGAATCATACTGTTGAAGGCTGCTAATTGTTGTGCACACTAAGAACTGCACAACTGCAACTGCAAAACTACAGATAGAAACGGTTTTCAAAATTTAGCACAAAGGTACATGGACAGCAGTAAAAATGGTACCAGTCAGCCATCTCTTTCTGTATATTCATCTGTGCTAGCATGAGTTTGTAGTTTCTGACTATAGCAGAGACCAGGAGATCTGGCCCAGCAGGAGAAGGTGGTGAGGCACCCCACAGAGCAAGAAGGCAGGTGTCAGTGGCTTGATCATGGGCGGGCAATCATTTTTGCAGGGGAGCCTCTTAATGAATTTTGCTACATGGTCACGAGCTGGCTCCCCTCGCCCGCGAAGGCGGGGGCCTGGGGTGGAAGGGAACTAGTTGCCCAGGTTGCTGCAGCTCCAGTGCCTGCCAGGGTAGCATTGTGATGGGAGCTGGGAGCCATTTAAATAGGACCCTGCTGCCTGCACCACCTCGTGGAAATTCAGTGGCATGGAGAGCAGGATAGAAAGCAGCCCATGGGCAGGAGCAAAGTGTCAGGCGGGCTGGATCTGGCCCCAGAGCCACATATTGCCCAGCCCTGCTTTATCAGCACACCAGCAAGCAGCCCCAAGGGGGTTTTCTGTGACCACACCCTGTCGCACCATTGTTTTTTGGGGGGTTTTGGCCATTTTTATTTGTGCAATGTAACCTAGGATATTCACTAGGGACGTAAAAGAGTAGACAAGTCTATGATTAACTGGTAAGCCTAAGCTTCTCAGTTAATCCTCTCAACTACTCGCATCTCCCTCCTCCCTGCTGCCTCTATCAGTGGACAGGGAATGCTGCCACACCAGCCTCTCTCTGCGCCAACCCAGACCACCATGGACAAAGGCTGCTTTGCCACAGCCTTCTCCACTCTCCAGCAGCCTCCTGCTGTGGAGAGCTCAGACCCCCACGGACAGGGGCTGCTGCCACCTCACGCTGCTGCCTCTATCAGTGAGGGGCAGCAGGCAGCCGGTCTGCGCAGGGAGCTGATTTTAAAACTGGCTCCCTGTGCTGCTGCCTCTGATACAGAGGCAGCTGCCTGGGGTGACAGGGGGCTCCCCAGGAGTGGGCTCAGAATACACTGGCTGCCAGTCCCGCCCCCAGGGACCATAGAATAGTGAAGTAAGTGATAAGAATTCATGTGGTTACTCAACTGTTCTATTACCCGCTAACATCCCTAATATTCACTAATAAACCCAACTAAAAAGTAGAACCATTAGTGGAATGCATGTCCAAGTTAGTCTCTCTTGTCTGGTGAGCTATTTCCTGAGAGAGTCTGTCAATTGGGGCTAAACTATAGAGAAAGCCACCTTACAAGCCTGATTCAGTTCAATGGCCTGATTCTGAAAACATGCACATAGGACTTTAATGTGACTTAACATGAGGAAATGTATTTTAATTATATTGATTTAAGTATTTGTAGTGTTGAGCTCCAAATTTGCATAATGCTGCAGCCATTTCAAACCGCTTCAAGTAGCTGTTTCAGTATGTGAGGAAGAGCTGTTTCCATCACCATTGGTAACTGCTCTGTTCCCCTGGACCAGCCATACTGCAATATATTGAGGCTAATGAGAGGACTGCCCATGGTTGTGCGGCATGTTTCCATAGTGCACAAACATGGAGGAAGAGGGGGAACAGTTCTTTCCAGGCTGGCTGAACACAGATCCGTCTACCTGAATGAGTCTTTCTCTGGTTTGGTTTGGTTTGGTTTGGTTTGGAAAGGAACCCATCAGACAAGGGAGATGGATATGGTAACCCTGTAATAAAGCAGGTTCCAACAGAGTGCCCTGGGGCATCCCCAGTTTCAGTGATGGACCATGTGTCCAGTTGTGGGAGTGAGGAAATGGCAAGAGCCTTTCCCTCACTGCTAAACCAGTGCTTTGGTGATATCAACACTGACAGCCTGAGGCAGAGCATCCTGATACAGATTTGGTGCTGGGATTCGTTTAAAGCCACTTTATACAGTGAAACTGTAATTAGTAATATTGTGTAGCAGAAGATGTCTGGGCATTTATACAGATTTCATTACAAGGTTTTGTTTGACAAGCACTTTCATTTAAAGGCTGCAGAGAACAGAAATAGATAGGGAACAGCTGTTGGATTTGCCATAAATAAGAACCTGTCTGATTAATCAGATTAATGAGACCTCTGATTAAGAGCCAGCTGCAGCTCCCTCCCCGTAGTCCTATTTTTAGAGCTTGTGTGTCTGATAGGCCATTGAAACTCAGGTATTTAATATCAAAGGGATGGGTGAGCAAAGAGGGAAACAGTTAGCCTAAGGACTTTTTTTTTTTAGTGCATCTAAGCCATTCAGAGGCTTGCTGATGTTAGCAACAAGGAATTTTAAATTGATGGCATTGGATACGCCTTGGTCTATAGCTCCCCTGTTTCAGGCCTTGGCCTCTTGTCTGTTTCTGCTCTGTTGTGAGGGGATTCTAGACCTAGACCACCATGCTCATTTTCCACATATAACCTAAGCTCAGTTGAAACTCAACTGCAAAGCCTGGTGCATTCATTTCACACATCCCTTATTTTAGGAAAGATCTGTTCCAGGATCAGGTATTTGCAATACAGGACTTATAATGAAGTCTTCTTAAAAGTACTAAAATGTTGTACTTCTTCTTTGTAAAGCTTTCTTGTCCTCTCATTTTAGGGTAGCACGCAAGAACTCTATTTCTCATCCTAGTTCTGTGCTTGGAAAACTTGACACAACCACTGTAAGGAGCCAGCTATTAAAATGGAATGAGTAAACTGATACTAAACAAGAACTTTTCTCAGAACAGTAGTGGCTTCTCTAGAGTCTGAAACATTCACCAGAGATTCGGATTTCTCAGAGGTAGCTTGAGAACAGGGCCGATCCCTTGTTCTATTTTTTTTTCTAAATCATACCACCATTTCCTAAGGGATCTCATTCCTAACTAACATAGGCTTTTATTGTGTAGCTGATACAAAGAAAGGAGCAGAACCTGCAGTCTAAGTTACGCTAGCCCTCAATAGTATGATCTGTTGGCACCTGAGCCATGACTAACTGTGTTTGATCATGTATCAGAGGGGTAGCCGTGTTAGTCTGAATCTGCAAAAGCGGCGAGGAGTCCTGTGGCACCTTATAGACTAACTGAAGCGTAGGAGCATAAGCTTTCGTGGGCAAAGACCCACTTCGTCAGATGCATGTAGGTACGCAGCACCTGATGAAGTGGGTCTTTGCCCACGAAAGCTTATGCTCCTACGCTTCAGTTAGTCTATAAGGTGCCACAGGACTCCTCGCCGCTTCTGTGTTTGATCATCTGCATCTTAGCTTTTAGGCTTTCCAATTTAGTGTAATTTTCTTTTGGTGCATTACTATTTGCATTCAAAGGGAAGAGGGTTTGTTTTAGAAGGCAGAAGCTAACTGACTTGATCTTTTGTTGCTCTTCACCACATCTTTAGGGCCCAACTCTGCCCCCAGGTACGCATGTTCCAGTGGTAGGCAAGTCAGTGAGTTTGCTGTACCTGACAGCAAAATAGGCCCTCTGTGCTTACAGTAGGAAT